CGGAATTATTGAATTGTATCTAGTCTATGTTACTGTAAAACTCATTAATATATGTTCGGCGGTTTTTGCGTCTATCGGTAATAACATAACATAATATGTCTTCCCGGACATAACATATTATGTCTTCCCGGAAAGTAACAGAACATCATAACAAATCACCTTCTTCAAAAAGAAAAACGGCGTTCGGATCATAATTGTAGTCAAGAGAGCTTAGAAAAACTGTCGTAAATAATGTTGTTGGTCTATTTTATCGCTAACATTAACCGATAATTACCAAAAACTGTAGATTTCGCATTAAGATAGTCAGAATTTCACGTTAAAGAAAGAATTGTGTCTGGAATAATTTTTACATCATAGAATAGTAAACAATGTTATCGTTGTTGCCAATTGTATACAGTAAATTTATTTCATACAATTTCTAATTCATACAACGTTTATCGATTTAACTAAATAAGTTCAAGAGTCGGTTTAATTATTTGGCTTTATAGTTAAAAAAATCATTGGACCTGACAGCTCCTCCAAGAAAATATGCTATTAACGTCTTCGGCATGATTAGATCCATCTATGGCAAATAATTCAGGTGAATCAGATAACGTATAGTTTATACTGAATCTATTCAAATACACAGATATCGGTATAAAATCGGGTTAAAACTTTAATAGGCCATTAAAACCCCTATATTGTGATATTTAGTAATATAATACCACCACAAGCATCGAATTTGAATTTCTGATTTCTTTTTATATTCACTTTACAAAAAAATATTTTATATAGCAGAATGATATATCAAATTTAAAAATGGGAAAACAATTAAAGAACCACCATGAGGGGCATTTATATGGGTGTCATGGTAAATTTCTGTCAGGAAAAACTATTGTAAGCTATGAAATCTAAGGGTGGAAAATTGAACTATTACCTTGAACATACCGAAATTCTTAAAATACCAAAAAAATATTACATATTGATAATTATACCATTCATCACATTGTGGAACATGCTAATATGGTAAATTTTGCAAATCAATGTACATAAGTTTGTCCCATTGTACAAACTTGCGATTTACCATTTACCATTGTTTACAGAATGGCATATGTTTGAATTAATTTTACTCGGTTCATATTTATTTAATTTCATCCAATTTCATGTCAATGTTCCTTCAAAAATTAGACGTCTGTTAGGATACATCTGTTGAAAATATCCTAAGTGATGAAGGGTATCATATAGTCGTCCTTGTCCGATTTTACTACTTTCCTTACTCGTTTTTGGTATTAATTTTTTCCCCTTTCGATAGTTTAGTACCAATGGAAAAATATGTATTGTAGGTTTCGTGGGAAGTCCACTAGTCCCTAGATTTAAGACTTTGGTGTTTTTATTAAATTACACTGTGCGACAAATTTGATTCTTTTTTTTTTTTTTTTTGATAATTACCGGGAAATTCCAACAGGTTATGAAAGAGGGGCTAAAAAAAGAAGACACGTGTATCGGTGTTTTTAAAGTTTACGTCGGGAGGTAACCTAAAAAAGGGGGGACAATATTCACCCTTTTCTAGAATTTTTATAATTTTCGAATTATGCTTTCATGAAATCCTTGCGTTTTAGGTATATAGTGTCTTCGGCAATATTACTGATAAAATATCGGGGAATATTTTGCTATACAACTTTAACCCTCAACCGACTCATTAATGGGGTCTTTTCGGTCTCCTTTTCCAGGAGTGATTGAAAACTCATTCAAAACGGGGTTAAAGCTGCTCAGAATATTCTACAGAAATGTTCGCCATAAAGTTTTACTATAAGTCTCAGAATAGTCTAAAACTCAAAAATCAGCCTAAATGTCAAAAATCTTAAAAAAAAAACAAAAACTCATTTTAGGGTTAATATCGTGCTTATTACTAGTTTTTACCCATTTTCCCCACAAGATGTCGTTTTAGAACGATAGTATAAGGGACAAAAATATTCTCCATCAATTTTAAGCATAAGTCACTGAACAAGAAAAATCTGTATATATATTGTAAATACCGAATATATAGTCATACATTTTGAACCAAAAATTCAAAATGTTCTTGTATTTTTTTACGAAGACATTTCCCAGTATTTTTTTCGACTAAGTGCATTAAAGTAACATAAAACTTAATTTTAGGTATATAATGTCAAAGAATAAAATATTCTGCGTCAAAATCCACTTCAAGTCTCAGAATAAACTATATATTTATATTCAACAGTTTTTAATTATAAAATTAACTAAAGTCTGCAAAAAAATTGTTGTTATTATATATAATTATATATAATTTGAGTTTTAATCTATTCTGAGACTTATAGTAAAACTTTATAGCAAACATTTCTGTAGAATATTCTGAGCAGCTTTAACCCCGTTTTGAATGAGTTTTCAATCACTCCTGGAAAAGGAGACCGAAAAGACCCCATTAATGAGTCGGTTGAGGGTTAAAGTTGTATAGCAAAATATTCCCCGATATTTTATCAGTAATATTGCCGAAGACACTATATACCTAAAATGCAAGGATTTCATGAAATCATAATTCGAAAATTATAAAAATTCTAGAAAAGGGTGAATATTGTGCCCCCTTTTTAGGTTACCTCCCGACGTAAACTTTCCAAACGCCGATACACGTGTCTTCTTCTTTTAGCCCCTCTTTCATAATCTGTTGGAATTTCCCGGTAATTATTTTTTGTGTTGCACAGTGTTATATTAAATAATATTTTATTTTTAGAAATATAACGTTACAGACGTTTCCGTCCAGTAACGTTTTTATTCCCTTTTAATAAAATATTATTTGATAGAGGAGTCCAATCCAGACAGCAGGAGTCCAATTCCGTCCTCTCTATGGGCTAATTAAATAAAACTCCGGTGTTGACAATTTTTCGTCTTTGCGTCTTATTATATAGAATGTAAAATAGAGATGACCGAGATAAAGAATACAGAATAGAGAGTGATTGAGTTAAAACAAAACAATCACAAAAACAATATCACTCACAAGTGGAATGGAAACAATCACTCAAACGTTACAAAAGAGAGTAGATATATTACAATATATCATTACAATGAAATGTTATGCGAGAGCACAAGAGATAATTATCACTCAATACAAAATGTGATCAGTCTCAACAAAATAAATTATAAATACTCATTGCAAAATAATACTCATTATAAAATAATGTTGTATGAGAAATTCCATCCAAAATAAGTCTGAGTTGAATGATGTACTTAAAGTGATCTCATTTAAATATAAAAATTGTGAAATTGTGAAATAAAACTTGCCCGGTACATCATTAATTATAATTACATCGACATATTGGCTTTAATAGAGTTCTGCTTATATAAGGAAGATTTCGATTAAAAGTTGGAGAAATTTAGTATTTCTGGTGCGTTGCGTGTTAAAAATCCTCATTATTCAATACATCGGAAGTCGCGGTAGTATAGGAGTTGTAAATAAATGGCAGTACTGTTGTGATAGGAATTTTACAGCTTGTTTGCATAGTTTCACTTATTTGTCTATGAAGTCCCTCCCGTTTTTCACTACATCGGAAGTTTTTTTTTACAATTCACAAAATTATCAATAAATTTTATGTACAAATTTTAAAGCATTTTAAAGTGGGGCACATTCGGCCATATACAGATTGTGCAATATTATTTCCTTAAAATATTTTTGAGTTTGTCTTTAAAACTAATCCTTTAATATGGCTCGAAATTGCATGTATTGACGAATGTATTGACGAAATCGCTTGTATTGACGAAAATGCGATAGAAAACCCCTATTTCTGATGGTGTGTGCGAACTTGAGATGTAAACGTCCGCCGCTAGAAAATAAATTCCTATAATTCAAACATTGTGTGGCGTATTTAAACCAAATAGAGCCTTTAGAGGATCAGAATTTCAACCCGACTGATAGCAATGACAATTACCCGGCTATGACTATGGTGCCGACTGTGCCCCATCAAATGCCGAAGCTACCCCGGGTTGGGCACATTCGGCGAATTTGACTTTTTTTTTAAACTGTAAAATATTTTAACTAATACTATTTTTTATATCTTTTTGGTACTATTTTTTTATAATTAATTATAAAATTAAGTTGTTATATATGTTGAATAAGTGCTGAGATATAAAGCTCTAAAAAAAGTGCCGAAGGTGCTACTAATTTCCCAAATTTGTCCACACATTCCCCTTCGCTTATCATTGAGAATGCTGCATACCAAATTTAAGAGTTCTACTTCCAACCGATGCGGCGAAATGCAGTTTTTAGTACTTTTCTGTACAATTTTAGTACTAATTTGTAATAGCTTAAGCTACATGCCAAGTTTCAGATATCTAACTCTACCATTCAGATATAATATTTAGTACCTCTTATGTAGGCAAAACTGCATACCAAATTTCAGAGCTCTTCATCTAACCGTTCCCGCGTAATAATGTTCTTAGTACTTTTTAATACGATTTTTCAAAAACAATATTTTAAGTTTCTAGCTTTAGCCGTTTCGTTGGGCGTTGATGATCAGTCAGTCACTAATAACTTAACCTTACCAAAAGATGGTTTGGGTATCATATAGTTGGCTTCATCTGGGTTTGGTCCTTGCTCATTTTTAGTACTAATTTTAGTAAAAAATGATATTATACATTAAATAATTGTAAATGCTATTCCTTCTAGATTAATTTTAATATTTAGGTCTAAAAAAATTTGGTTTATTCAACCAGATATGAAAGAAGAAATTTTTCATTTATATCTGCATAGCACTACAAGTTTCGCCAGCGGTATCCAACGTTTCGTTGTGCTCCGGAACAGTAACACTTTTGTTTGTTTGTGTACCGGAACACTAACGATAAAAATATTTTAGTTTTTGCGAACACTTGGTGTAGGCTCGGTACGGACAGTCCTTTGATTACATTTAAATTCAAATATCGATGTTATGATGATATCCATCTACACGACTAAATATCTTGTTCTCAACAATTTACATTAATTGTCCCTTTTCTTTATCCTTAACCTCCAACAGATGCAAGCCAATCTGCAGCCAACGAAGTATACCGGCCTTGTGGCCGATCTGATGCCCAACATCAAGTTGATGAAATATTCGGGCTTGTTTATGCATGCATTCACCGGAGGCTCTGCATTGCTGAAAAATGTCTACTCATCCATACACTTGGTGCTGATAGTGCTGCAGTTCATCTTCATCCTTGTCAACATGGCCCTGAATGCCGACGAGGTTAATGAATTGTCCGGCAATACAATTACGGCACTATTCTTTACGCATTGCATTACGAAATTCGTTTATCTGGCAGTGAATCAAAAGAACTTTTACAGGTAAGTGAGTGTGTGTGTGCCGCCAGAGGCTGGGAGCCAAGCATCTCTTACCATCTGATGGGTGACTGTTGTGCCCCGAAGAACTTGTTTATGCCCAAGGAGATGGAGATTTCCATCAAGCGTATATTAAATGTATTGTGCCGTCCATTGACAGTTTCTCTGTGTGTCCTCCTCTGTCCAAGATGCATCAATTAATCGAACAATTTATTTTTAATTACACATTCCGTCCTGGTGTCGATGCTGATGTTCGCTTTGCATGGCTGCCACTTTTAATATTGCCCCGCTGTCGTTGTTGGTCGACTGGTTGGTGGGTGAATTTCTAGAACACTTAACATTTGGAATCAGCCAAACTCCCACCCTCTGTTTGCGGAGTCGGATGCTCGCTATCATTCAATTGCTTTGGCTAAAATGCGAAAGTTGTTCTTCTTGGTAATGTTGACGACTGTGGCCTCGGCCGTTGGTAAGATTCCCAGTTAATAGACTGAGTGGTCATTAATTAATTTTCTTCTTCTTTTTCTTCTTCGATTCCTTTATAGCATGGATTACCATTACATTCTTTGGCGAGAGTGTCAAGTTCGCCACTGATAAGGAAACCAACTCTACCATTACCGTACCCATTCCACGGCTGCCCATTAAATCATTCTATCCCTGGGATGCAAGTAGTGGCATGTTCTATATGATATCCTTTGGCTATCAGGCCTACTACTTGCTCTTCTCTATGGTCCATTCGAATTTGTGCGATGTCCTTTTCTGTTCCTGGTTGATATTCGCCTGTGAACAGCTGCAGCATCTGAAGGGCATAATGAAACCATTGATGGAGTTGTCAGCATCGTTGGATACCTATCGACCTAATTCGGCAGCATTGTTTCGTTCGTTGTCGGCTAATTCGAAATCTGAATTAATTCAAAATGAAGGTTAGTAAGGCGGCTAGTGGCAAGCGCACCATTTGTTGTCCTATTTTATGCTGTTGTCCTTTGATTTGTCTTTGCAGAAAAAGAACCTGTCAATGATTTGGATATGTCGGGCATATACAGTACAAAGGCGGATTGGGGTGCCCAGTTTCGTGCTCCGTCAACTCTGCAGACCTTCAATGGCATAAACGGCGCCAATCCCAATGGCCTGACAAAGAAACAGGAAATGATGGTACGCAGTGCCATCAAATATTGGGTTGAACGTCACAAGCATGTTGTCAGGTAAGAAGAAGAGTTTTTGTTATTAAATATTTTACAAGTAAACAGAAAATGTGGGAATTGGAAACAGAAATACAAATTTCCGTTTTTCCATTTACATCTCGGACAGACAGTATGCATAAAACATTGGAAATAACAAAAATGGGTTGAGCCAGCGCAAATTTCAATTACATCGAATGAAAATTTCGGTTAGACCACCAATATAAATGGACTTATATTGAATTGTTTCTGAAAAATTTTCCAAACCCCTGGAATGCTAAACTACTACGACTTAGGTTGAAAAGGTCTACTATTGGAAATAATCAAAACACCAAAGATGGGGACGTGCCTTACAGTCTTGGGGACTATATCAAAACACCAAGAACTCGGATTGACAAATTATAGCCACATCGGTTGGAAAATAAGGAGGATAAAACATGGACCGCTTTTTCTCATATTCAATACCAACAAGTGAGGTGGGTATCATCGGAAGGAATTAGACGGATAGCCTTCACCACTTTGGAAGACCATTGACGTGGGTCTTTGTTTGCATAAAATTGAGCAATATTAATTATGGGAGCTATATGGCGTAGTACAGCGTGCTGTCCAAAGTTTCATCTCAATCGGATGCACTATTTTATTAGGAGAGAGGAGAAACGTATTCTCAAAAGAAAGGACAAGAAAAACGAGAGCGTGAGCAAATCGAGATATACAGGAGTCAGAATGAAGTCCGGAAATTTTACTAGCGAGTAAAACACCAAACCGACGGCTTTGATGCAGACACATCATCCCGTAGAGATGAAGTATGAAACCTGGTGACAGATACGGACAGCGTGTTGAGGATCTGGAAGGAGCATTTTGCAAAGCTTCTAGTATCAAATAGTAACGGTGCAGAAGACTTCCCAGATACCTAATAAGCGATGATGGTATAGATTATATACCAACTAGCAATGCGGCTTCAGATCTGGTGAATCCACCATAGACCAGACTGCGCCAAATCTTGGAAAAGACCAACGAAAAACACATCGACACATTCCACCTATTCATCGACGATAAAGCCGACATTCGACAGCCCAATCCGCTCAGAGTGAAAAGACCCACGAAAAACACATCGACACATTCCACCTATTCATCGACTATAAAGCCGACATTCGACAGCCCAATCTGCTCAGATTGGGTTCGGCTATGCAGGATAACTTTTACTGGCACACGGTCAGCAGTTAAAGTCCGAAAGGACCTATCGGAGCTCTTCAATACCGAACGAGTATTTAAAGTTGGACTGGCAGTAAATGGCAAGAAGACCAAGCTGATGGTACCAACGCGCAAGACGTACAGTTGACACGACCAACTTTAAAACTACAGCTTCGAGGTAGTGAAAGATGTTATATACCTAGGAGAAGAATAGTGTTGGCAAACAGATACTACTATGGTCTGAGTAAACAATTCACACTGTACAAGATGCTTATAGAGTAACTTCCGGTAATGTGGACCACCATTTTCTTTTTTTGATATTGTGGGCGTACCAACGGTAAAAACTGAAAACAAATTGTTTTCACAACATAGTAGATTTGTTGGCTAAATATATTCCAGGTCAAAAATTATAAGCTGCAAAAAAAAAAAAAATAACTTGGCGTGTAATGTGGACCAGTATGTGTGGGTAATGAGTATCAGTAAGTCAGGTAGGTTGTGGTTTGGTTGTGATAAATTTAAATTTATTACACTCTTGGGTAACAATGAATGCAAAAATATATGGGTTCATGTTTTGGAATAGCCCCATTTAAGGGTACCGCCCCATTTGCGGTTTGTCCAACCGAAGCACCTGTAATTTCGCATATCGAGTTTTCAGAGGATAGAATATCTCATCGCATATTAAATTCACCCACGTTTCGAACTCGCCCTCATGAAAAGGACCCACTTTTTTATAGTGGTCCACATTACCAGACATTGAATATTTTTATTTAGAAATAATTATCGGCTTCAAAAATGAATAAAACTTAAAAATCGCCGATTGTAATTACAGCTAAACGTATATTTTTGTTAAAGGAAACAAGAAAACCACATAACTTCTTTATATTCCAGATAAACAAAGTATTCGACTATTTTGCAGACACGTTCGACTATTGTGCTAAAAAATATTCAAATCACACTTTTACAGTCAGAGCTACATCTTCTACTACTACATTTTCAACATTGCAATTATTTATTAAAAACCAATTTTGATGTTTGTTTTCACTAATAAGGAAAATATTTATCAAGGCGGCATTGACATATTTCAAGCATTTTCTTAGATATGGGGGTGGTCCACATTTGACGCATGGTCCACAGTACCCCAAGTTACTCTACTATCCGTGCTGTTGTATGGATCTTGGAGTATTTGAGAGAAAATTTCTCAGAAAGATCTATGGGCCGATCTGCATCGACAGTAAATATCGCCATCGAATGAACAATGAGCTGTACCATCTATTTTCGGACATCGACATAGTCAGACGTATCGAGCTGCAGCGACTACGTTGACTTGGTCATGTTGTGAGAATGGATGATGATGTCCCCGCTCAAAAGGCATATCAAAGCGAGCCAACTGATGGTTCAGACAGAAGGGGAAGGCCACGAATTCGATGAAAAGATCAAGTGGAAGACAACATCTCATGATCTTTTAAATTGGATAAGCTGCGCAAAAGACCCAAGAGCCCGGAAATCTTTTTTTAAACTCGGCGTATGCAACAAATGTCCTGTCTCAAGCCAGCAAGACAGACAAACCTGGCTATATCAACAATTTGGTCTTAGATAAACCGTATGACCTTCTGAGCCAAATGAAAATTTACAAAACTCCACAAATAATTGTGTAGAGGCCTGAAAATTGCAATTTTTTTCTTTTAATCTTGAATATGTTTCATAAAAACTTATTGCGAATAATTAATCCATAAAACAGTAATTACAAAAATAATTACACTTTCTAAAGTAATATGCATTTGCTTATAAATATTTGAAATACACTTGTATAATTCCTTCTAAATCAATAATAATTTCATTTGCCATTGACAATATAATCGACAAAGTATCAATGTATGTATGTGTGTGTGTGTTTTGTGTAAATTTACCTTATGGTCTGGTGTTGTTGGGCGGAAGGAAACAGTTTCTGTTGACGGAAATTCAAATTTTAATTACAAACAAAACGGCAGCAGCAACAAAAACCGTTTAACTTTCAAATACATCTGGCATAGTCGTTTTGTCGAGTGGCAGACGACAGACAGACAGACAAGTGGTAGTAAGGAATCAATAAAATGAAAACTGACACAACTTGTGTTGTTTCCCAGACAAGTCAGTTAGCGTTTACTAACACCGTTGCTGTTGCTGTCATCTTCATCAGCGTTTATTTTGTCATCATCATCATTGTCGTCGTCGTTCGTCCTATCGATAATTGGGTTGTTGATTTGTTTGTGTTGGTAGAGGGTTATTTATTCAGTGAAAGGACAACAAAATGCCCAACGCTATCAACAGCTTTGGTTACATTTGGTTTTCACTTTTGGCATATTTATTTTTGCTTGTATTTGCACTTGGAGTGGGGGCAGGATAGCACTGCTGAAAGGCGAAGTCATCATCATTGTATCATCGTCATAAACGTTGAAGGCTTGTGTTTTTTCTGCATTATTTGTCATGGTTTTTTTGTCCCCATCCTATTCAAGTTTATTTGTTTCGGTTTGTCTTCTACGGATAAAAAGTAAATATTTTAATTACTTAAAACAACAATCGATATGTCGATAGGGAAGGAGTGTCTCAAGTCCAATACCCATTTCATAATATCCTTGAGGAATTTAAATGGTAAATTAAAAAACACTTCAAAATTTATGGGGTAAATAAAAAAGTCATTTTCATAACATTGCGTTATTTAATTGTATGTGTCAATGTTGCAATGAGGTCAAATGTTCTACATTATGTCCATCTACAGATTGAATATTTATATCCTACACAAGGGTTTTTGTGGGTTTACCATACATTAGTTTTTATATTAATTGAATTAAAAACATCTTGAAATACTTGGTCTACATCTATCATCGTACACAAAACTATGAATCTAGGCATAGCTAGTAAATACTAACGAAGGAATAGGAATACTAACGAAGTCCGAAGTTTAAACCAATTTGGACAATATTTTCTTATGATATAAAATATTTGTTTCTCTTCGCAATTTTGTGAGGGAAGAAGGAGCCGACTTTTGTCGTATAAAAGTGCATATACTCTTATTAGCCTTAAAGTAGTAGTCCGTCCATCCATGTGTTTTTGTGAACATAAATGCGACCTGTACGTATTTATGAACCAAATTTGATGACATTTGGCACAGGACGAACCCTATCGGAGAAATCGGTTCAGATTTGGATATAGCTCCCATATATATTTCCGTCCGAGTGTATGTAAATCGTACACTAAACTGCAAGATGAGTCCGATTGCGAAAACATTTTGCACAAGGTATTCAATTAGATCCTAACTGATGTATACGAAGTTTTGTTGAAATCGGTTCAGATTCACATATAACTTGCATATATATTTTTGGCCGACTTTATGTAAATGGTACCCCAAACTCGAAGGTCCGACTGAAACATTTTCTTTTCGACTGGGACGAATTTGTGCACAATCAGCAGAGATGGGTTTTATCAACATTCAATCTGAAAATTGATAAAATCGGTTATTCAATTTAATAAAATTTACAATTTTATAAAATATTGACGCTTTCTGGGAAAGGACTTGATCTGGGACTTGTAAAGATAATAGGATCGCTTGAAATAGGATTTATAAATATTGAACATTTTGACCCTTTGTGGGGGAGGTACTAGAAGGAATGCACCAATGGGTCCCATCTTCCTAATTGGTCTAGGCTTGGTAAAGATAATAGTTTGTACAATGTTTGGTTGAAATCGGATAGTACGTTAGCATGATCCTATAAAATTTATTTTTTGTACAATTTTGAACATTTTGTGGGGGAGGTACAAGAAGGAGTGGACTGATATTCCCCATCTTCGAACTTGAA